GGTGGTGGCCTCTATGGAAAGAAGAGGAAATTTTAAGGAGAAATTGGTTTAAAGTAAGGATTCTTAGCTTGAGGGAGGGAGGTGGTGGTCTACAAACTTATTAAAAAAAACATTTTGGTAACTATATTTCAGTATAATTGATTTCCTTAAAATCCTTATGTACATTCTTTTATTCATTTAAAAACATTCTGAGAGGGATCCATAGGCTTCATCAGACTGCCAAAGTGATCCCTGACATAAAAAGAGGTTAAGAACCCCTGTTTAGGCTGTAAGATTGGTTCTATTTCAGACATGTTGAATTTGAGAAGCCTATGAAACATAGTTCCAAATTGTGAGTTTAGATCCAGCCTCATATACTTACTAGCTGTGTGACCCTGGGCAAGTCACTAAACCCTGTTTGCCTCAGTTTCCTCAGCTGGAAAAGGAAATGGCAAACCACTTCAGCATCTCCCCAGATAGGATCACGAAGAGTCATAAAAAGACTCAACAACAACAATAAATGGAACATTCAGATAGATATGTTTAGCAAGAAGTTGATTCTGGAGTTCAGGGAAAAGATTAGACAAGAGATACAGATTTGGGGTTATCTTCATAGACATAAATGAACCAATAAGTACTGATGAAGTAACCGATAAAGAGTGGGGAGAGAGAAGACAGAGAGAGAGAGAGACAGAGAAAGAGAGAGAGAAGAGAAGAGCAGAGCCTGGGATAGACCCTGGAGTAGGAAATAAAGGAGGCCACAGAGGAATGGTCAAACTGGAGCAGTGTCTTCCAAGGCAAAGAAGAAAAGAATATCCTAGAAAAGAAAAGGGTCAGGAGGATTGAAAGCTCATTAAAGGCCATCACATTTAGCAATTAAGAGATTGTTGGTCACAATGACCAACCACAGTTCCAGAGGACACATGATGAACATGCTGCCCATCTCTTGATAGAGACATGAAGGACTTTGTGCAGATTGCCACAATATTTATTTTTTGGTGGGGACATGACCAGTGCAGGACATTGTTTTGCTTGATGATACATGTTTGTAACAGGGGTTTTGTTTTTCCTGCTTTTTCTGCAGGATGAGGGTGGAGTGGAAAGTAGAAGGGAGAGAATGCATATCTTCGGGAAAATAAAATAAAATTGAATTTTTTTAAAAAAAGATTATTGGTAACCTTGGAGAAAAGAGTTTCAATCGAGTGGTGAGGTATGAAGCCAAATTAGAAGGGATAGAAAAGTTAATGAGAGGTGAGGAAATAGAGTTTAAAGTAGACAGATTTTTCTAATAATTTGGCTGTGAAAAAGCAGATTAGGATAGCTTGAATGGGTGTCAGGGTCAAGTAAAGGGTTTTTTACTTTTTAATGTTTTAAAAGGTTTGGGGTTAAGGGAAGAGAGCTAGGTTTGAATCCCAACTTCACCTTTTATTAGATGTGTGACTGTAAGCAGTTACAACATCTCTGAGCCTCCATTTCCTTGTCTATAAAATAAGGATTCATATTTGCAATATCTACTTCACAGTTGAGGAAACTATTCTGTAAACCATAAAGTGCTACATAAGTATCATTTATCAGATCTTAATTCTTGTATATTTGACTTGATTCTTTCTTTGAAAAGTCATCACAAATAGCTTGATCTGAATATTAAGGAATGAATGATTCAGGCATCATTTGGAAATGAGACTATTGAATGTCTTTCCCCCAAAACATTAGAATTTTTTTTAACATAAATTATTGTTTTAATAACCACCCTCCAACCAGCCACCAGGTTCAGAGTGCTGGAGGCATTGTTGACTTTAAGACCCAGATATTAGGAAAAACTTTCTGACAAGTAAAGGTTTTCAAAAGCATAATGAGGAGGCAGCTAGGTGGTATAGTGGATAGCGCACTGGCCCTGGAGTCAGGAAGACCTGAGTTCCAATTCAGCCTCAGACACATAATACTTCCTTAGCTGTGTGACTCTGGGCAAGTCACTTAACCTCAACTGCCTCACTAAAAAAAAAATACAAAAGCATAATGGGCTGCCAGGGATTTTCAGGATACTTCAAAATAATGCTGATGGTGTTAGCTAGCATTTACATAGTACTTTAAGGTTTGTAAAACCCTTTACAAATATTATCTCATTCTATCCTCACAACCACCCTGGGAGGTAGTGTTATTATTATCAGCCTTCTCTTCCTGCATCATCCCCAAGAGAAAGAAAAGTAGTTGAATTTCTGTGATGCCAGCATAGTGATACCTTTTCCCAAGGAGTGGGGAAAAGACTGTCAGAGATGTTCCAACCCGCTACCAATCAGGCAGAGGTGTGCTTTGAGTTGTTTTTCCAGTAGTGTTAATGGATCCACATTCTTGCTGGCCAGCACAGTCTACATCTTTGGAGGGCTTTCCTATTTAAAATGATCAGGATTATGTTCATCTGTGCAACATTAGATGGTAATGGGGGTGAGTGGTAAAGAGAAGACTAGACAGAGTAATAAGAAAAAAAAGTTGGACTAACTAAGCCTGTGATTGCTACTGCCAGACAGCTGTTCTGGACTCCATGGGTCTCCACTGCCAAGGCTGGCCTTAAGGGCAAGCAGCCATGTATTCTAATGATTACCTCAATACCCACAGATGATCCCATTCCCCCACCCTGTCTGAAATTATCCACTAGCAAAATACAAGCACCTCTAAAAGGAGTAAAGCCCTTTCAGGTGTTAGCAGCTTAGCCTTGGAGGGACCCAGGCCCTGAAGCATTGGGACACAGAATAAAGGGACAAGAGAAAGGGATTGGGATCATAGGGGGATGGGAGAGTACCTGTTTTGCCCCATTAGCATCCATAGCCACTGTGAAATTTGCTCCTTAACCTTAGGGATTCATAACCCCTTCTTTGAGAAGCACCGGTCTAATTTTAGCCTTTGGAGCTTCCGTATATTTATGATTTACAGTCTCAATGGCACATACCCCAAGAAATCTGGAACCCTTCAGGTGATCTGCTATGCTTTAAATTCTTCTCCTATACAGTCCTTGCCGTGTTATAGCTCTACTGAATGAGGCCACAGTCTAACTACAATATTAACCCTGCAAATCTGTTCATTTTCTCCTGAGCACCCTCAGGCAGGATATAGAATGTGTCCAATTGAAAAACTATTACAGACTCCATGGTGCTGTGATGTGTTCAGTTGTAACAGGGTGTGTGTGTGTGTGTGTGTGTGTGTGTGAGAGAGAGAGAGAGAGAGTATTTCTCAGCCACAAAATCATTCTCTAAAAGGAAATAAGGTAGCATATGTTTTATGTTTCCATTTTAAGAAAAAAAATTTTACACCATTTTCCAAATGCTACTTTTCTCTTTGTGTTTCTTTAGCTGTTTATTTTTACATTTTCTACCAATTTTGTGTCTTTGTTTCATATTTCCTCTTACCCACCACCTCATTAATTCCTCTTCTTTTACTATTTGTTGGCCCTCTTCAGTGCAGCATATAGAACACAGATGGTAAACCGTGTGTACAAAAGCCCAATCACTGCTCCATTCATAGGAGTGGCTGAGCATTCTAAGAAGCATGTGTATTCTACATCATGCCTGGACATGTGGTTAATGCTAAGTATTCCAGCAGTTATGCCCCAGGTAGCAACTAAAGCAGTTCCAGATCATAAAACGTATGATGTTGTGCAAATTTATATTTTATCACACTGCGTTTTATGAACAAAAGCTAGATGACTTTCCCCCTATCAAAAGCATTTCTTAGCCTTTTATAATGCCTTATCACTGTATTTGACCTACATTGTCTATCTATTCCAAATAGCAGTCTCTGTCTCTGTTATAAGTCTGTGACTGTATTTGTAATTTTCATCTTAAAGAGACCATGCATTAAATACTCTCAGTTTATTACTGGGATGGAGACCTTAAGTCCTAGACCCCCTTTAGTGAATAACAATGTGCCAAATACCTGACTTTAGCTTTCTTTGTAATTTGGACTTTAATTTAAAAGCAATGAAAAATGTTGAAGCAGCATTTGAAATCTTTGTATCATACACTTGGGAAGGAAGCAACATTTCATGGTCTCAGCAATACTCTTTCTTCACCCTAGCAACCCAGAAATGTTCTGGCTACCAAGATAAACTGCCGTGAGTCCTGTCTTATAGAAATTAAAGGTGTTTGCCTTTATGACATTACACCTATTCCCAGGTAACTAACATTTGCTACATCAGCATCTACTTCTGCTCTTCCTTAAAAAGTTAAATACTTGCCCTAGTGGCTAGTCCCTCACACATGCCTCACAAGGACACATTTATCATTTGGGACATAGTTTTATTTTTCCTGGAAAATGTATTTTTTTTTAGCATGTCACAAGCCAACCCTATTGAAAGCAAAAGACACAAAGACTAAGGTTGGGCAAATAGTAAAAAAAAAATGTGATATACATTTTAGTAATTTTGCACTTTCTAAGTGGTTGGTTAAAAACACAGTCCACTGACTTTATTTTCAGAGTTACTTTAAGTACTCGAACAGCTTAAATAGTTCATTTGACTCCTGACTTGACAAAAAAATTCCAGAAAAGAGTCTGTAGAATATGAGGATTAAAGGTTTGTATGCATCTAGTCTATATATCAAAGAGAAATCATGGACGTTTTTATTTAAATGCTCATTGTTTTAGGCTTTGATTATCCTCTAAAGTGATCAGTGATTCTTCATGTGAAGTTACTCATTGTTAAATGTAAGCTGAATTCATTAGTATAATGGGCCCTCTTATTTCACAAAATTATTTGAAATAAATATTAGTTAAGAACAAATCTTTATTATTGAGCATGTAAAAGCTTCCTTTTGTCAGTTAAATCAGTTATTTTTCTGTCGTTCATTATAGTACAAATGAGAACTGGTGAAATTTTAAAGACTCACTGGCTTTTCAGATTTTAACATATGAAGAATGTCAGCTTTAATCATTGACTTGTTCACTGTGTTATGTATATTTTCTTTTTTGCCATTTAAAAAAAAAAAAGAAAGAAAAAAGAAAAATGTCTAAACTTGCTTGTCTCTCCGTAGGACAGTCGGCCCAATATGTCAAGACCTCTGATCACTAGATCCCCTGCATCTCCATTGAACAATCAAGGCATTCCTACTCCAGCACAGCTCACAAAATCCAATGCACCCGTCCACATTGATGTGGGTGGTCACATGTATACCAGCAGCTTGGCCACACTCACCAAATACCCTGAATCAAGGTAATTTGAAAACTGGAAAGTCAGTTGACAAATTGTATGCATTTGGTAATCTAACTGTTTTCTCATGGCCAGATATAGTGGAACTCCTCCGTAACACTGGTATTGGGGAAGAGGATTAACAACTGCCCTGTAGATTCTCTGTGTAATAATAGATTTTTACCGAATCCAGTTTTGTTCCAGGGGCCATGAATTGACCCATCGTACGTCCAAATCCATATTACGATGAACTGTGTTATGATGGAGTTCTACTGTATTTAGCTTTTATAAAGAACTTCATATTTTTTAATGTATTTCCAAAGGCAGTGTTATTTCTCTTATTTTCCTTCCTTCTGTCCTCTCTAAGACACAATTCCTTATAAAATCCCCATACTTCTAGAGCCAGGTAGTTGGTTCCTGAATACAGTAGGTGACCAGATTGCAAAGTGGAAAAGGGAGATACAGTATTTTTCCAGTGAGGGAGGATTTTTCAGGACACCATGCAAAAGTCTTGGAGGAACACAAGGCAATCTTGCAAAATTGGTCACAGATTCTGAACAGTTCAAGCAAAAGAAGTATTTGCAGGAGGAGGGTTGTGTTAAATCTGGCACTGTAAATGCTTGTGGGATTTTTTCCCCCTCAGTTCTAATGGCATCACAAAGAAGGGATTCACTTTTGCTCTGGGACGTCCACTCATGGTCTTGCTGACCATTCTGGCTCTCTGCTCTGCTTCTTCAGAACAACAGCTCTTTGCTAGTCCTGTTAGTTGATGAGTAGGAATGAGCTGACGTGGGGCTACACACTTCCTATTTCTGTTCCTACTCATAGAAAATAACAAGGGGTTGTCTGGTTTCAAAAGACTCCTTAAGACAGGAGGGGAATGATTCTTTAAAAAAAAAAAGGGGGGGTGCATCTAGCCTCACAGCCATCACAGAAACTTGTCTAACTCCCTGACATATTCTTTGGTATGCATGTTTATAAATGTGTAATTACCGTATCAGTCACTTAACCAGCATTATTGACTGAGTACTTTTCCCCGGAGCGCTGAACTATATGCTGTGGTCTGTTACCATAGTTGTGATTACATTTTTGCACATGTAAATACTTGTGTCTAGGAAAGAAAACTCTTTTTTTAATTACATACTTCAGCTAATGAAAAGATCAGTACTTCTTTTGCAGATAAACACTGAATACCAGGGAGAGAAGAAAAGGCCCCATATTAAATGTGTCAAAAAACCATGCATTTTCGAAGCTCTAGCAAGATGAGCTGGCATAGTCGATAGCATCAGCCCTTTCCTTGGGTTTGTTTTTTAAACTCTTGCTATGTGTTACATTAATGATCACACATTTACATATAACAAGAAAACAGTTTTCTTCTGATCCTTACTGATTTTTAATTGGTTACAATTCTTCCTACTGATTAACCTTCCATCAGCCAATTTGCTCTTTGGGAAGATCACTCCTATCACTTAATTTTCTTTGGCACTGGTGAAGAATTGGAGAATTTATTACTGAGTTGTTGTCTCTTTCCAGTTTAATTATTTCAGAATGATTAGATATTATCAGATAGCATCGTTGTTCCTGCGGTGCCTTCTCTGAAGGTGGTCTGTTTCCTCCCCAGCCCACACTCTGGTTTATGGATGCTCTCAAGAGTTCTTACTCAAACTCCTGAGCAACGGCAACTGCTCTGACAGGTTTAACCGCCCTCTATGCCGAGGTGACATGCTTGATCCAGAGCGGTCACTGTGTCTCAAAGACATCTTGATTTGCTAAATAATTTCACCAGTTTGATTGGAAAAGACCAGAGCTACGCATTTTCTTTTCCCAACCTTTCTCCAGTATTTATTGTCCTTGTTACAGTGGGTCCCACCACATGAGCCTCCGAGCTCTCCTTTAATTCCTCCTGTTGCTTTGCCATCTAGCTCACTGCTAAGTCCTGCTCTTTTTTTTTTCTTTCAGGCTGGTCTACTAAGTGCCAAATAGCTCCCTTATCTTTCTTCTTTTTAAAAACAATTTTAGATAATGATTATTAGCAGTAATGAACATCAATACAGTCAACCAAGCTTATACTGCAACTAATGCATTTATGTGTGTGTGGGGGGTTTTTTGTGTGTTTTTTTTAGGCAATTGGAGTTAAGTGACTTGCCTAGGGTCACACAACTAGTAAGTGTCAAGTGTTTGGTCTGAGGTCAGATTTGAACTCAGGTCCTTCTGACTTCAGGGCCGGTGCTCTATACACTGCACTACCTAGCTGCCCCCAACTAATGCATTTAAATAGATGAAATTCAGCCTATAAATTGTCATTGTCATAACTTATCTTTCACTCCCTCTGAGTCTTCATCAGCATTCTTCGAACATTCATTCCTATTCATTTTTCCTCATATATATGCTTATAGTTAGTGTGTGCTCTGCTCTGATTCTTTTTTTTTCTTTTGTATCATTTCATAAAGGCCTTTACACATTTCCTTATATTCCTCACACTTTCTCATCTTAATTGTAGCATTGTATCCTATTACATTGATATACCACAATTTTGTTTAATCATTCCCCAAGTGTTGGGCATTTAGGTTACTTCTCGGTTTTTTTGCATTGCAAATAACACTGTTATAAACATCTTTGAAGAGATGACTCTTTTAAACAAAATAACACAGGGCATATTCCCATTCGTGGAGTTATTTGGGTCAAAGGATATGGTTATTTTTGTAAATTTTTCCTGCGTATTACCAAAATATTCCCAAAAAAAGATTGTACAAGTTTACAATTCTGCAAGCAATGCATAACTTTTTTCTTTAAAATAGCATAACCAGCAGTTTTGACGTTCGATTTTTGTCAATTTGGTGGAAAAGGTGGTATCTCAAACTTATTAGTTTGTATTTTTCATTATTAATGAAGCTGTACATTTTTCAAGTTATTGTTAACAATTGGTGTTTCTACTTTTGAAAATGTTCTGTCCAGGAACTTCTGAAAACACTAGAAAGCAGTTTACAAAAATGAGGTTCAGACTAACATCTTACCAGACTAGCATCTTATACCATGTGCAATAAACTCAAAATGGGTGACTTGCATATTAAAGATAGCACTACAAAAAAATTAAGAGGACAAGATCAGTTACCTTTAATGATGGCAAATGGCATAATTCTTAACCTGATAAAACACAGGTTACAAAAAAAAGATAATTTTAGTTGCATGACATTGAAAAGCTTTTTGCACAAACAAAATCAATGAAGCTAAGAAAGGAAACCACAGATTAGAGAAAAAAAATCTTTGTATAAAAAGTGTCTGACAAGGGTCTGATATCTAAGATACATAGGGAATTAACACAAGTCTATAAGAAGCCATTTCCCAATGAATACATGGTCAAAGGATATAAACAAACAGTTCTAAAAAGAATTTTAAACTATTAAGAACCATATGAAAGACTGTAGCAAATCACTGCTAGTAAGAGAAATGCCAGGAATACAGTTCTGAAATCTCACTTCCCACCCCACAAATTAGCGAAGATTGCAAAAGATGTTGGAGTTGCTGTGGAAAGATAGGCACATGACACTGTTGGTAGAGCTGTGAATTGGTTTAGTCATTCTAAATAATAATTTGGAATCCTAAGAAAGTGGCTAAAAATGCCCAACCTTTTGACATAGAGATCCTAGTGCTAGGTGTATATCTTAGGGAAATAAGAGACAGAAGAAAAGGTCCTATATACACCAAAACATTCATAACACTTTTGGTGGTAGCAGAAAGTAGAAACAAAGTAGATAAGCACTGATTTGAGAATAGCTGAGCAGATTATTATACAGATTATTAATTAAATTATAAGTTATCAAATTAAAACATATAGATTATTAAAATTAATTAAAACATGATTAATAGCTGAATATAAATATAGTTGAATATTACTGCTTTGTAAGAAATGAGTACAGAAAATTCAAAGAATCACTGGAAGATTTATATGAACCTAGACAGAGTAAAGTGAGCAGATCCAGGAAAAAACTGTATACAATGATTATGACAACAATAACAACAAAAACTCTGAATATGATGTGTAAATGCAACTTCTAATCATTGCAAAGGTAGAGGACTATAGATAAAGAATATTGCTTATACTATCAGACATGGTATGTACGTTGGCTAATTTTGTCTAACTGATTTTTTACCTTATTTCTTTTGCATCTTTGATTAAAAAGAGATGGCTTTCTGGTTAAAGGAGTGGGGAAGAACATACTTGGAAATGAATATGATATCAGAACAAAAGTGTCAACAAAAATAAGAAAAAAACCATTTTTATAAAAAAGAAAATAACATTGTCTCCTCATATTGGTTGATCACATATCCACTGTAGATCAGGCTTCCCTTTTTGCTTTATCCCCTACAGCAACAGCCTTACTCTAGGCAAGATGTGTTATGTCTTGCCTCTGCTATCTTACTGGACTCCTTGCCTCCAATATCTTCCCTTCCATCAATCAATCAGTAAATATTTATTAAGCACCTACTATGTGCCAGGAACTGTGCTAAGTTTTGGGGATACAAAGAGAGCAAAAAGGTCAAAAGCTCCTGCCTTCAAGGAGCTTATAATCTAATGGGCAGAGACAACATGCAGAAAATATATACAAAGGAAGTTATAGACAGGATAAATAGGAAATAATTAGCAGAGGAAAGGTACTATAATTAAGAGGAGTTGGGGAAAGCTTCCTGTAGAATGTAGGATTTAAGTTTGAACTTAAAGAAAGCCAGGGAAGTCAGGAGGCAGACTGGGGGAGAATGAGCATTCCAGCCATGGGGGACAGCCAGAGAAAATACCCAGAGTCGAGAGATCAAGCATCTGGTTTGTGGAATAGCCAGGAGGCCACTGTCACTGGATCAAAGGGTACGTGTTTGGTTTTTACTGCAGCTGACATGGTTATCCTTTCAACTCATCCTTCTACTCTATTCTAATTGTTTTCATGAATGATTAACAGTTCTAGCCTCTCCCCCTGACTGCACCATGTAGGGTCGCTAAGTTCTAAGATCAATACCATCATAAAAAAACA